CGTTTCATCAAGGCACCAGAGGACCATCTGGCAAATCACCCTCTTAGAGGGCACTAAAACTAAATTAGTTCTTGCCATCTTCCCGGGCTGCTTAAGTTACTATCAGTGTGCAAAGACACCTAATTGTTCGACCTCCCTAGCTGGGTTAGAAATGGGCAATGTTGCTTCATCTTTTTAAAGCATTTTTTTAAAATGATGAACAAAGGGAAAAAAAGGTTGTTCACTATTTTTTATTTTTTAAATTTTTGTTTTTGACTATTTGCAAATGAGTTTATTAGTTTGACTTAAAAGAGACTGCTAATAAAATAATCCTGGTCTGTCTTTCTCATTCTGTACCCTCCCCCATGCACTAAGTATACCATTTGCTTTCCCCATCTGGCTTAAAGAAGGTGGCCAGACATGGTGGAGATTGTTAATGCTACTCCAATGACAATCCCTGGGGGTCATTGAAAAGCAACAGAAGGTATTATCTTTATCCTTCATCCTTTCTTCCCTGGAGCAGAAAAAGCCATCTCTGAAATGCTTCCCCCTCCTCCCTCCCAATCTGGGGTCACAGTCAAACTAAATACAATCCTACGTTGGTGTTAGTGTTTTACTATCCTCTGAAATAAAAATATTATGAAAATACTATCAGACATTACATCTCAGTAGACCAAATGTAATATAATGTAGTAACTCAGTTATCAGGTCCTGACATGGCAGAGGCCAGGCAATTGTTAATTCAAAAAGGAATCATTGGTGTATTGACCAATATGATCTGGGACTAAATTAATGTCCATATTAAACTTTTCACTCAAACATCCTTGAAAGCTTTTCCTGGTTGACCTAAAGCTAACTATTTACTTCTTTCTGTATATTTTTTTAAGTGTCATTTTATGTTAGCTTAAGGGAAACAAACAAGCTTATTATTGATTAGGCTGATTATTGATTTCTACATAGACTAAACTAGCTGACCCACTAAACCCTGGATTAGAAAACAAGACTGATGAGTTTCAGAGAGGAAAGTAGTATTTATACTCTGAGATCTGCTGTCTCTCTCTCTGTTTATGTTTCTACATGCCTATTCACACACCTTCCACCATGATCTCTATGAATGGTACTCTAAAGTCTACTTCTCTAGTGCCATGCTATCTAAACTTGGATTTTCTATCATCACTTTTTATTTTATATTTAACACTTTTGTCATGAATTTAATCATCCATAGACATTTCAACAAAAAGGAAGATGAATTTGTTACATGCAACTTGTTTTTAAATAGTGTATATTAACTTTAATATAATAGTAACACAATTGCCCCTTTTAGATCCCTTTTTGAATCTTTTTTGTTTGTTTGTTTTTTTCCTGTTCATGTTCAGCACTTTATTGGTGTTTTTTCTTTTTCCTTTTTTGTATCTATAATTACCCACTCCCTACCAGAGAGAAGTTCTTTCTCATAATACATACATTTAGTCATACAAAACAAATAAATATATTCCACTATCACTTTAAATTCAAATTGAATTCATCATCTTCCCCAAAGCATAAAATCTTTGTTCCTCTTTCCATCCATTCCACTTCTGTTCGATGTTACTGTTCTTCCAGTCTCCCAGGCTTCTTCTCCCTCGGACCTCACAATCAACCAATCTACAAATCCCATGGAATTTCTCCTTGAAATACCCTTCACAATATTTTTCTTTAGGTTCCTCCTCACCTATCACCCTAGTGCAGATGTATTATCTCCCTCTGGAATTATTGCAGGAGCCTCCCAGCTCTCTCCCTCTAATTAATACCACATATCACTGTCAGAGAAATCCTCCTAATTTGGTATTTCATAGAACTTTGAACTGGAAGTGAACCTTAAGACCACTTAGCCAATCCTTTCCTTTTATGGTTGAAGATACAGGGCCCTGGGGAGGTTGAGTGACTTACCTTTGATCTCATTAGTACTAAGTAGCAGAGTCAGAATTAGAACCTTAGTCTTTTGTTGTTGTTGAGTCATTTTTCAGTTACATTCAACTCTTTGTGACCCTATTTGGGGTTTTCTTGGCAAAGATACTGGAATGGTTTGCCATTTCCTTTTCCAGCTCATTTTACATATGAGGAACTGAGGCAAACAAGGTTAAATGACTTGCCCAGGGTCACACAAAGCCAGTAAGTGTCTGGGGCCAGATGTGAACTTAAGAAGATGAATCTTCCTGACTCCCAGCCTGACTCTTCTATCCACTCCACCACTTTGCTGCCCTAGTCATCTCTCTCCAAATTCGTTTCCCTTTCTACTATATTACAATGCCTGGATCTGGAGTTATCAATTCCTGGGTTACCATGCTTGGAATTGTCACTCACGTGATTAAAAACCTGTATGACTTTATTGCTGTACTGTTTAACTATGAATTTCTAGAATGATTTTTATAACCCTTCATAATTCAATTCTGCTTAATTGATTTTAACAAGCATTTGCTGTTTATGAGGTACAAAATATGGTAGTCCCACTCTAGCTATCTAATTTTATTTCTCATTCTTTTTCTGTGTACACCCTTCTTTTCATTCAGGCCAGTCTTCTTTTTTCCTCCATTCACAATACTCATTTCCACTTAACTCACTCCCAGCTTGTATCCAGATCTATTCATCATCCAAGGCCCACTTGAAATGCTACCCACTTCATGAAGCTTCCTGTGCTTACTCGCAGTAGACTGGTCTTGTGCTAAATCCAGGAGATGGGTGGATTTAAATCCTAGCTCTGATACTAACTGTGTGATGTGACAAGTCAGGTAAGCTATCTGAGCCTCATGTTCCTCACTGATAAAGTAGAGCCAATAATATTTGTACTACCCACTACCCACTATGATATTTATAGCTACAGGGGCAGTTAGGTGGCACAGTGGATAGAGCACCAGGCCTGGGAAGACTCATCTTCCTGGATTCACATCCAGCCTCAGACACTTACTAATTGTGTGACCCTGGGCAAGTCACTTAATACTGTTTGCCTCAGTTTCCTCATCTGTAGAATGAGCTGGAGAAGGAAATGACAAACTGATGATATCTAGAGGTTAGAGGTACTGGAATCCCAAAATCATGACACATGGGTCCTGCCTGAAAGAATTTGACCCACACCTTCTTTCAGCCAAAAACAAGGTTTATTAAAGACCTGCCATATTAGCCGGACTCTTAAGGAATCTGAGCATCTGTGAGCTATTGGCTAGATTGAAAAAATCTGAGCAGTGGCTAGATTATAAGAATAAGAGCATCTTAATAGAGACAAGATAGACCTTATATACAGAAAGACTATGGGAGGGATCTAGGAGTGGCCAAGTAGTCTATGAGGTAATAGAACTCCAGGAGTGGCCAAGGGAGAATGGAGCCTAGATAGGATTAAGGGTGGGAAGTGGACAGGGACATAGGGAGGTCTAGGCTAGGTTAGGGGTAACAGAATTGGGAGATTGGGTGTAGCCGCAAAGAAAGGCCAGTTGATAGGATTATAGCCTCAGGGGAATGCCAGAGATTTGGCCATGTGGGAAAGTCCAGGTTTTTTCCTTTTTGGGGTCTAGCTCTCATCCTCATCAAAACCACTCCAGTATCTTTGCCAAGAAAACCCCAAATAGGGTCACAAAGAGTCAAAAATGACTTAATAACAATACCTACTTCACAGAGTTATTGTAGGGAAAAGCATTAAATACATAAAAGTTCTCAAATGTATTGCAATCACTTCTCTGAACTTTTTTTTGTGCATCATTGCATTAAGCATATTACTTATTTCTTATACACTAGACCATCAGCTTCTTAAAGGCAGGCTAGTTAAGTCTTACACTTTCATATCCCTTCTAACACCTAGCCCAGTGCTATGAATATAGCAAATATTCAGTAAGCCTGTATTGATTAATTGAAAATAAACTAAATTGATTATTAATTATTTTAATACTTTTATTTAATATTTTAATTATTAGTAATAAATTAATTGAAAACAAACTTAAAATTAATTAAAAATAAAGAGAAAGTTTAATCTTGGCACAATTTAAAATGCAGATAGCAATTTCTTTTCTACGTGCTTAAAAAATCAAAGGACATAGTGTACGTGAAACTGTGCAGAGTTCTAGGGTACAGATAGGTTTAAACATGACCTCTGTGCTTGAGGAGCCTACATTTTAGGGAGAGGAGAGAGGCAATGCGCTTGTAATGTTTTAACCCCAGAATAACAGCAGTGTTTTCTACTAAAGTCCTACCCTGATGTTTCCTCTAACAGTGGAGGTGACCTTGGTTTCTTTTTTTGTTAGAAATTTTATCAGCGCCTTTTGTTTTAACATTAAAGTCATTTCTAGATATAGTCTCCTCCCAGCCTCTCCACCTTCAATTGAAACTGGCCTTGTAACAAAGAAAAACAATTAACCAAAATTCCTGTCACCTCAGATAACACTTGTCTCTTTTGATCCTCTAGTCCCCTTGCACTTTCTATTCCTTTGTATGGAAAGGAAGGCTGGTTTCATTATCTATTCTCCTGGACTGCTGGTCCATTGTTGTAGTCATTATGTATGCTGTCCTTTTGGATTGGCTTATTTCACTTAGGTTCTGACTTTTCAGAGTTCAGTAACATGCCTTAGCTTTAGTCTCATGCTGGAACATCCATCAGTCCCTGACTCCATTTTACCTTGAAACATTTCTTTGTTGGGTCAGCCCTCTTCTCTCATTGGTGAACTCCTCTTTGGGGCCTCCATTTTGTGGAGGGTTTGGGGCCAACCAACATGACTTTCCAGACTTAACCACCATGCCTGGAACTAGGTACCTTCACCTCTTTTCAGCTCCCTTTTGGGTGTTATCTTCTCTTGTTACATCCCTGAGGGCAGAGAGTGTCTTTCTTTTTGCTTGTATTTGTATCTCCAGCAGTAAGCACTTATTTCATTGGCTGCCTTCATCAGTTCATACAAGTACCTCCATGTTCTCTGAATTCCTCATGTTCTTCATCATTATTATTATTATTATTTACTGTACACTCCTATTTTATTATAACCATTTTAACCATTCCCCAACAGATGTGATGACCCTGGGCTCTTGAAGACTAACAGGAGTGTAAGCTGGAATATGGCTCTGATGACCTGTGTAAGTCTTGGTTACAACAACTCATCAAAATGGCCTACCGTGGTGCTGCTGGGTGGTTTAATAGATAGAGATCTGCACCTGCATTTAATTCAATTTATTAAATGCCTATAAATAGCTTACTTTGTATGTATTTGTTTGCATGTTGCCTCCTCTATTACATTGTAAGCTCCTTTAGGGCAGGAACTGACTTTTGCCTCTTTTTATATTCCTACTGCTTAACATCATACCTGACACATAGTAGGTGCTTTTTGTTGTTGTTGCTCAGTGGTTTCAGTTGTGTCCAATGTTTAATAGATGTTTAATGAATGAATGAAGTGCCTCCTATGTACTAATCACTATTATAAGCAACGGGGATACAAATAAGAAAAATAAAGCTGCCTTCAAGGAGCTTACAAT